AGGAAAATACAACCTAGATGGAGCTACCGTAAGGTGGGTGCATAATTGGTTAGAAAATTGTTCCCAAAGAGTAGTTATCAGTAGTTCACAATCAAGTTGGAAAGGCATATTGAGTGGGATCCCACAGGGGTCAGTTCTGGGTCAAGTTCTGTTTAATATCTTTATCAATGATTTAGATAATGGCATAGAAAGTGCACTTATAAAGTTTGCAGATGATGCCAAGTTGGGAGGGGTTGCAAGTGCTTTGGAGGATAGGATTAAAATTCAAAATGATCTGGACAAACTGGAGAAGTGGTCTGAAGTGAATAGGATGAAATTCCACAAGGACAAATGCAAAGTACTCCACTAAGGAGGGAACAATCACTTGTACACATACCAAATGGGAAATGACTGCCTAGGAAGGAGTACTGTAGAGAGGGATCTGGGGGGTCATAGTGGATCACAAGCTAAATATAAGTCAACAATGTAACACTGTTGCAAAAAAAGCAATCATTCTCCTCTTTTCTGATTAGGCCTCAGCGTATTGTGACCAGGTCTGGGCGCCACATTTCAAGAAAGATGTGGCCAAACTGGAGAAAGTCCAGAGAAGAGCAACAAAAATGATGAAAAGTCTAGAAAACATGACCTATGAGGGGAGATTGAAAAAACTGTGTTTGTTTAGTCTTGAGAAGAGAAGACTGAGAGGGGACATGGTTGCAGTTTCAAGTACATAGAAGATTGTTACAAGAGAAAAAGTGTTATCTTTAACCTCCGAGGATAGAACCAGAAGTGATGGGCTTAAACTGTAGCAAGGGCAGTTTAAGTTGGACATTAGGAAAAACTTCCTAACTGTCAGGGTGATTAAGCACTGGAATAAATTGCCTAGGGAGGTTGTGGAATCTCCATCACTGGAGATTTTTAAGAGCAGGTTAGACAAACACTTGTGAGGGATGGTCTAGATAATATTTAATCCTGCCTTGAGTGCAGGGTTCTGGAGTAGAAGACCTCTTGAGGTCTTTACTCACTGGCTGCTAGTTTTGTTCTGGTGCAAATAAACTTGCTGGTTTAATGGACAGCGGTGTAAGTGCCTTATTTGAACAATGGCGTTTCACCTCCTGGGACTCCATGGCAGCTGAGATCAGCTGTGGCATAACATTGGTTTAGCCTAATTGGGACTGAGGAAGGCATTTACAGGAAGGAATCTTGACTTCACAACTTGTTTTATCACTGAACTTTGGTTTGACAGAGCCATAGTCTGTTGATTTTCCAGCAAGCTTATCTATTTATACTAGACTTTTCAGAAAGGAGTACTTTAGGTCGAGTGTATTCTAGGGGGTGCTATCTACAGTATTGTCAGCCCCAAACATTCAAAAATCACGAGTGTAGTCCCCCAAACTCATGAGAGTGGCTTAAAATTCATGCTATATTTTTTAAAAGATACTAAATATTGTATAATTTTTATTTGCCTTTTGGATTTTCAGCCTTAGGGTGCACTTGTTTCTTATTTTCAAGCTACCCTCTACAATCCTGAGGTCCTTAGAGGGACAAATAGTGCACAGACCCCACACCCCACCAAGCCCCCCACAATTGATACTTATTGCGTAGGGGGCTGCCTTTGGTAATCAAATACGGCACCCTGGGCCCCACCAGCACCCGTTGTGGGGCCAACCTTCCACCATTCTTGCGAGAGTCCTACCTCTGGCTTACCACTGACCTCCGCAATCCCACTCCATCTGCGCTTCGCAGTGTTTGAATCCTCTCCCACCCTCACCTCCCTGTCCCTGCTTTTCCTGTCTGGGCTTGTCCCCTTTCAACCCTTCCGGTTCCAGGGGAGGAGTCAGCATGGCCATGCTGACCCATTCCCCCCTTTTGCAACACCTTCTGATGTTCTCTCCCCTCCACACCCATAGAGCCCCGTTCCCTTTCCCTCAGCCAGCCGGACAACATCTTCCCTGCTTAAAGGTGCGGCATGATCAAATGCATAGGGTAGATCAGAGCAAATGTTGCCCTTAATTTCTATAAAATAGTTTGGTGATATACAGATGGTTCTGCCTATGCCCTATTCATAAGAACTTCCTGTGTCAAAGCTGCCTGTGCACCTAACTCCGACACACCTCCCATTTCCCACAGGACTTTTGTCCTGCAGGGATGGATCCTATGGCCAGAATTTTCAGAGGAGTTCAGTTCTCACAACTGGGGCCAGAGTTTCAAAAGAGCTCAGCCAGATTAATAATCTGGCCTGTTTATTTAGGTGCCTAAATGGGAACTGAGCTCTCTTGACAATGTGGCCCTATGTTCATCCGCTGCCATGGTCTCCACTGAATCTTGTGTAGTAATTTATGCCTCTGCAAAGTGGCTCAGAACTGTCATGTTTTACACTCACTTTACATAGGAGTAAATGATTACTCCAGGTGCCAAGACAGTAGAGAAATGTCCACTGTTTACAGAGTGGGAACAAATGGGACAAATTCATCCCTGATCAGACGCAAGCGACTTCATCCAGTGTATTCATATGAAACTTTAAAGGATTTTAGGATATTACTTGTTGAGATAAATGGCAAGTTAACAGGTTATTTCTATATTATAAGTATAAATACATGTTTACTATTTGCTGCTAACAACCATAAAAGTGAAATAGATGTAGCTCACGAAAGCTCATGCTCAAATAAATTGGTTAGTCTCTAAGGTGCTACAAGTACTCCTTTTCTTTTTGCGAATACAGACTAACACGGCTGTTACTCTGAAAGCAGAAAATGCATATTTCAAACACTACAGTATTTACTGAAAGCAATAAGGAGTGGGTAGACCCTCCAGCTCCCAACCTTGATGTATTTCCCCTCGGAACTTTCATTACCCTACTCAAAGTTGGTGTTGATCTTACAAAATCTGTCAACTTAATAAAATTTCTATCTTATCATTCAACTAAAAACATAGCAAAGGTTCTTGGTGCTTCCATAATGTACTTATGCAGTCTAGCATTCATTAATAGGCCTGATTAAGGCATGTGGCATTGGTGTTGATATACAAATTAGACCAAAACTCAGAATCTCTCTTAGTATTGCAAATCAGCTGTCATTCCATTGCAACAAATGGAGTTGCACCGCTGTAAGATGTGAGTGGAGAATTTCACTTGTTGTGCATTTGTACAGCTCCTAGCACAAATCAGCCCTGTTCAGGACTGGGACTTCTAGGAAATACAACTACCACAGAACAAATAATAAAATAATATTAGTTAATCAGCCCCAGGTGTCAAGAGCTGTCAAGACTACGGCCTTTCTTTTCCACCAGATAGTGCATGAGGAATATCATAGAGAAATTCCATGGGTCTCACAATTCTTCCACTGAGAATGCTTCCACTTCAAGCATTATTACTTTTTAATGGACCCCACCATACTGAGTATTGTATTTAATAGAAAGGAGTATTTCTTCTCATGAAAATAGTCAAAAGATGTGGCCATATTTTGGACATCTCGTTAATAGCAAGGGTTCCAGAATTTGAGGATGAGGACATGCAAATAAGTTCATTGGTTGATCTAATATTCAATGCAAATTACTTTTTTTTTTTTTTTGCATTTTTATGAACACATCAAGCCATCCTTTATATGCCATTTAGATAACACAGTTCATGAACTGTTAACCAGCCCAGTGTAAGTTAATGCCTATAACACTGTTCACAGCACACACCAAAAAATAAAAAGAGGTTGCGGACAGCCGTAGGGCTTATTGCTTCGTGGCCAATAAAGCTGAACAGTTATGAAAAAAGTAATTTCTTTAGGTGCACCATCAGTGGCAAATTTCTGATTTTAAATGATGCATTCTGTTTCTTTAAGTGGCTTATGTCAGGCTCCTGGTCTGCTTATTTTGTACTATACTACGGTGAGCCAGGTTTTTTTTTTCTCATTGAAGTTTATAAAACATATCAAAGGTGCCTGTCTGCTACTCTGTGGGCATTTGATAGTATTTAAAATAACAACACAACAAAACCAAAACCAATAATAAATGTGCAGAGGAAAACTCCACCCCTAGCACATCCCACCAGGGGGACTTCCCCACTAAGCTTGCATCCTCCATAAACAATCACTCCCTTTGGGCCCCACACACACCTTTTGGACACTTGACCAGAAACACGGATCATTGAAAAAGTTATAAGAATATGCTGGTATTCTATGAGTGGCTGTGCTTCTCCATGACAACAGTTAAGGAAGTTGTGACTGTGGTAACAGCAACCGGCCTGGGAGATTAAGCATTGGATTTCACATTAGGTCAGAAAGGAAAAAAAAGGTTGTGGATGCTGGTTATGGAGTTTGCATGCTAAAACAATATGTAGCTGGAACCGCAACCGATAAGACAAACATTTAGTGTTCAACACACACAAATACTTTTGTAAATTTCACAACCTGAAACCCTGACCTAGCCATTTACTCGTTTTCCTGTTTATACACCTGGTGTGTTTGACTTTTTTTTTTTTGAAACTCAACAACAGATGCTCAGATGTACCAATATTAAAACTGAAATCTGAGTTTCCATTCTGCTTTTTATTGTATTGCACTTGGGAGCAATCATCCACTAAGTAATTCATAGAAGAGTTCTTAGTTTCTGCCTTTCCCAGTCCAATAAGGGTGGTTCTTGTAGAAAATGGATTTTTAAGAGTTGCTAAAAAATTGTTGTTTGTCAGATAACTAAAAATCTCTGTGTGAGCAATGCAATTTTTATGAGTTTTTGTGATCATACATGTAAGAGAGAAGCTCTGAACATTAGCAGGACAGTAGCTCATCCAATATATGTTTGTTGCTGTTGAACTTTGTGGATTATTGCTTGCACAGAATGTTGTATTTTAAAGTGTGGTTTTACTGTCAGTTTTCTCTTTTTTTCCCCTCCCATTCATTTTATTCACACACTTCCATTTCACATTGGCCCTTTGTTTTGTAACACATCAGTTGTGCCAACTACACTGCTTCCCACCAGCCCTGAATCCCCTGTTCCAACAACCTCTCTGATTGATTCCTCTCCTTCCCCTTCAGCTATCCCAAGTTCCAGTGTCCTCCCCTCTGCTCCCCGAGATGTGGTCCCTGTTTTGGTCTCCAGTCGATTTGTCCGTCTCAGTTGGCGCCCACCTGCAGAAACTAAAGGGAATATCCTGGCATACACTGTCTACTTCTCCAGGGAAAGCATCAACAGGTAGGTGCCAATGACTAAGATGACTTAAGCAGCCCACTACTGTTATCAGGGTGATCATGGTCCTAAAGCTGCGCAAGGTTTTTAATAGTGTCTCACAAACTATTCTTGTGGTTTTGGATACAATACTTTACAATAATAGCCAGTATGAAGACTGAGATTGTCTATTGTAATTTATCTAAGTTCATATACCATGCTTAGTACCTTGATAACAGAGCACCTTTCTGGCTAGGAGGGTAGTATATTGATTGTAGCTTATGCAATCCCAATTTACTTGCAACAACTTTATCATCCTAATTTCTTGTCTAATATATGGCTAGTAGATTAGCACATTTAACTTTCATTTCCCTCTGGAGAAACAGGTTCAAATTCTGTTAAAATCACAAGTGAAAGTAAATTTGGTGAGCTTTCCTTAATTGATAAAGGAGGATAGCTCCAGCAAAAAAGCCAATGTCTAATTCAGCACTGGTGTAAAATGGAGTAACAACAATGGGTGCAAGAGTGGTACAGGTATTACAGGGGAGAACTGAGATGTTAACAGCAGAGTTGTGTTTTGGAGATTGCACTGTGCTATGCCTCAGTTTCATAAGTATTTATAATTGTACATTGAAAAGCTGTTCTGTAATAAAGATGTTGTGGGGGTCTTGTTTGTTGCTCACACGATTCCCTGTCTAATGTGCTCAGGGTACATGTGAAAAAGATGCTTTTAGTTTAGTTTTGTTTTTCTAATGGGCAAAATCAGCCTGAGATCTGAGAGTTAAGATGGATTTTTCCCTTCCTTCACATCATTGTCTACTAAACGTCACTTTCACCTTAACTGCACTTGTAATACACCTCAACTGTGTGATGGTTAATGGTATTCTTGTAGGAGCCAGAAGAACACAGATTCTGAGGTTAGAATGAAACCTATATTTATTTGAGAAGTAAATGAATTTGCAATGGAATCATTGAGAACTAATATACTTGGCACCCCAGGACCATTTTGTATAGTCATTTTCCCCAAAAACCTTTTCCCACATTTTGATCTCATTTTATGAGGTGGAGTAGCATCTGCAAAGAGAGATTTTTAGGTTTAGCCTTGGGTTTTTTTGGGAACTATGCCTTATCCACAGTGAAGTATGTGCTTAGCTATGAAGGGCCCAGTCCCATTCTCTCATTGTTTACTTGTACTCTCCTGTCTGTCTGTAACTATCTGTTATCTCTTATCTTACACTTATAGTGTAAGCCTCTTGGAGCAGGGACTGTGTGTTCTTTGTTTGTGCAGTGCTTAACACAATGCGGTCCTGATCCATATCTAGGGCTCAGAGGCGCTACTTTAATACTACTAATAATCAATAATAATTAATACAGTCTTACCAAAGAAGAAACTCCCCTTTTGGAGATTAGCATGTGCAAAAAACTGCAGGGTTTGGCCCTTTATCTCTAGCATTATATGTTTTATTTGATGGTGCTACAATAATGTCAGGATTTTTAAGAAAAATAGTGCTATGCACTGCACAGAACAAACAGAAACCTACAATTATTACAGAAATTCTTACAGCAAGAGTCAAACCATTCTCTTTAATGGAAAACTGCACCCATTTTGCTCAGCAGAATACCCTGCAAGTACACAGTGCCCACAGCACAACTTCCTGAAACATGATGTCATTTGTGGGAGCCCTGTGGAGCCTCTATAAAGGTGAAGAGGAATGATGGGCTTCTGTTGAAAATACAGCCCTAGGAGTCAGGGTTGTTGGGTTTTATTCATGGGTCTGCCACAGACTTCTCTGTGACCTTGTGTTGTGAAGATAATATATGGATAGGGCTGTCAAACGATTACAAATATAATCACAATTAATTGCACGATTAAAAAAATTGTGATTAATCACAGTTTTAATTGCACTGTTAAGAATAGAATACCAATTTAAATTAGCCATATTTTAGATGTTTTTCTACATTTTCAAATACATTCATTTCAGTTACAGCACAGAATACAAATTGTACAGTGCTCACTTTATATTATTATTTTTATTACAAATATTTGCACTGTAAAAAAGATAAAATAATATTTTTCAATTTACGTCATACAAGAACTGTGGTGTAATATCTTTATTGTGAAAGTGCAACTTACAAATTTAGAATTATTATTAGTAAAACCTTTAGAGTGTACAGGTGAAAGCATGAATGTGCATACAAATGTTTAGCAGATCTGGCACGTAAATACCTTGCAATGCTGGCTACAACAGTGCCATGCAAACACCTGTTCTCACTTTCAGTGACATTGTAAATAAGAAGCAGGCAGCAGTATCTCCCATAAATATAACCAAACTTTTTTGTCTTAGCGATTGGCTGAACAAGAAGTAGGACTGAGTAGACTTGTAGACTCTTAAGTTTTACATTGTTTTGTTTTTGAGTGCAGTTAGGTAAAAATATGTATAATAAATTTAAATTTGTATTCTATTATTGTTTAACAGTGCAATTAAAACTGTGATTGATTCACTAGATTTAAAAAAATAGTCGCAATTTGTTTCGCATTAATCGCTTGCATTAAATAAGATTAATTTACAGGCCTATCAATTAAAGATTCTAAGGTATTCTTAGATACTACAGAAATTGGGGATATATAAGTAACTAAGATAGCTAGAACATGCTAACCACTGTGTGAGGAGCTGACTGTTCTTAAAAGCCAATTTAGATCAGCGGATGCTCAGCATGTTACACAATCAATCCATCAGTAGGGCCCCATGTCTATCATGGATTCCACGACTTTCCGCGAACTCCGTGACTTGTGCAGTGGCCAGTGTGGCTGACCCCAGGACCGCCCAAGCAGCTGGCTCTGGGTCAGCTGCTCTGGTGGCCACAGAGCCTGCCACACCATCCGTTACTGGCGCAGCTCTGCAGCCAGCCACTTTGGCATCCCCGCAGCATGCAGCGGTCCCTGGGGCGGCCAGAGCAGCTGCTGCTCCCCACAGCAGCGGCCCCCAGGCGCCTCCCTCACCTCCGATTTAGTCAGGGGTATTTATAATATAAGTCATGAGATAGGTCATGGCTGTGAATTTTTGTTTATTGCCCGTGACCTCTCCGTGACTTTTACTAAAAATACCTGTGACTAAATCGTTGCATTATCCATTAGCTATCTCAGTTTGGGCACCGAACAATTGATGCTCCCAAATAAATGGACATTCTTGAAAATATGGATGTTAACATCTGTGCTTCAATTTCCTCAACTATAAACTAGTGATAATAATACCACCCATACTGCACATGGGAACTTTCAGAACTGATGTTATAAAATGCTTTGGGATTTGAGGATGGAAGGGATGGTAACAATGCAAAGCATTATTACAATTATTTCTCATCTGCTTTAATGCCATACTGAATCAGACCAGTGGTCCATCTAGCCCAGTATCCTGTTTTCAACAATGGCCAGTAACAGCTTAACATTGAAAAGAATACTTCAGTATTTAAATATGAAATATTTATATAAAACTACTGTTATTTTTTAAGATTCCAAGATATATCCATATCTATATCTGTATCTGTGTAGTAAGGGCTTCCAATTCCCTTACACTGGTTGAATATTTTCTTCCATTTAATTTCAGTAACACTACTCACAGAGGGTAAGGCACTATTCAATGTGAGGGTGTCAGACTCTAGCCCTAACCCAGGTATGGAAGTTGCTAACACTCCCTTGCAGAGGGTTTTCATGCTTCCAAAATTAAAAAAAAAACAAAAAACTTTTTAGCAAGATGGCAGCCTCCAGCGCTTAGCTTAAAGATGCCAATTGTAATTAAAAACTTTCTTAAAAAATAAATTTCACAGTTTAGCCATGGCGAGAACTGCCTCTGGTCTTCTGAACTTTCAGCCTGTGAGGCTGAACCAAATGAATGTAGTTTTCCTTTAAGCACTTGCATAGACTACTGAGTCATTTATTGTTTATATGTTATTTTTACAGAAGAGCTATTTTTCTCCTTACAAAAATAGTGGATCTGACATTAACCTCAGGCATGCAAAGAAATTGTCAGGCAAATTACTGTAACTCGGGAGTAAGAAGCTCTTCCCAGTTTGAGAATAACAGTAATTTTGTGTGACGATTGACAGTACCAGTAATGCTAGGGATGTGTATAAGTCCATACCATCAAACTTCTTTAGAGCCAATCTTTAGTTGTACAAAGTTGAGTCCCTGACTCAACACTTCTAAAGAGAAACCCCTTTGGAAGTGAAGCATTTATCATATACCCTCACCTTTGGTGTGTTTTTGATGGCCTGCTTTTTAATCTTTGCACTTGGGTAGGCTTGCTTCAGGGGATCAAACACTGAAATGGTTTTGCTTGCTGATAAGGAAAGCACTTACAGGTAAAGGGCAGGGTTTTTTATTCTTATAAGTATGATAAAACAAACCTAAATCTATTAGGAAATAAATAAATAAAGACCACAGAACACACCTGCATCCAAAAGAATATCTGCATGAGAAAATACTTTCGTTTAAAAGACATCATGCTTTCAAACTATCTGCTGACATATTTAAAGGAAAAATAAACATGATTCAAAGGAACAGGTGACCAAAAGTAATGATAAACATCTGTTAGTGGGTGCTAATGTTTATCTTCTCCATTAAAATATCATGAAAATATCATGTCAAACTTTTAAAAATAATGGTAAAATTTTCAACCGTGCCAGAGTCACTTGGGAGGCTAAAGCATTGTCTACATGGGAAAGCTTTGTTCAGTGTAAACTAGGTTGCAGATTTAAATGGATATTGTTATACAAGTATATTCTGGCTTTTATGGTTTAGTTTAAACTAGGGCTCTCAAGCGATTAAAAACATTAATTGTGATTAATGACATGATTGATAAAATTAATCGTGATTAATTGTGCTGTTAATAATAGAATATCATTTATTTAAATCTTTTTGGATGTTTTCTCCCTTTTCAAATATATTGATTTCAATTATAACACAGAATACAAAGTGTACAGTGCTCACTTTATATTATTATTTTTACTACAAATATTTGCACTGTAAA